CCAAGTTGGTGGGGGGCGCCCCCACCCCTAGGGTTTTAACCCTAGGCGCCTTGGGCCCCTTGGGGGCGCACCAGCCCACTAGGGGGGCTGGTTCCCACCCATATTCAGCCCACTTGGTCTCCCGGGGTAGGTGGCCCCACCTGGTGGACCCTCGGAAACCTTTTGGTGGTCCCGGTACAATACCGATAACCCCCGAAACTTTTTCGGCGACTGAAACTGGACTTTCCATATATAAATCTTCACCTCTGGACCATTCCGGAACTCCTCGTGACGCTCGGGATCTCATCTAGGACTCCAAACAACTTTCGGTAACCACATACAATTCCCATTACAACTCTAGTGTCACCGAACCTTAAGTGTGTAGACCCTACGGGTTTGGGAACCATGCAGACATGACCGAGATACCTCTCCGGTCAATAAAAAATAGCGGGATCTAGATACCCATATTGGATCCCACATGTTCCACGATGATCTCATCGGATGAACCACGATGTCGGGGATTCAATCAATCCCATATACAATTCCCTTTGTCCATTGGTATGTTACTTGCCCGAGATTCGATCGTCAGTATCCCCATACCTTGTTCAATCTCGTTACCGGCAAGTCTCTTTACTCGTTCCGTAACACATGATCCCGTGGCTAACTCCTTAGTCACATTGAGCTCATTATGATGATGCACTACTGAGTGGGCCCAGAGATACCTCTCCGTCATACGGAGTGACAAATCACAGTCTCGATTCGTACCAACCCAACAGACACTTTTGGAGATACCTGTAGTGCACCTTTATGGTCACCTAGTTACGTTGTGACGTTTGATACACCCAAAGCATTCCTACGGCATCCGGGAGTTGCACAATCTCATGGTCTAAGGAAATGATACCTGACACTAGAAAAGCTCCAGCAAACGAACTACACGATCTTGTGCTATGCTTAGGATTGGGTCTTGTCCAGCACATCATTCTATCCCGTTATCAACGACATCCAATGTCCATGGTCAGGAAACCACAACCATATATTGATCAACGAGCTAGTCAACTAGAGGCTCACTAGGGACATGTTGTGGTCTATGTATTCACACATGTATTACGGTTTCCGGTTAATACAATTATAGCATGAACAATAGACAATTATCATGAACAAGGAAATATAATAATAACCATTTTATTATTGCCTATAGGGCATATTTCCAACAGATTGAGCACCGCAAGATTGAACCCATCACAAACCACATTTCCCATTGCAAGAAAAATCAATCTAGTTGGCCAAACTAAACTGATAGATCGGAGAGAAATACAATGCTATAATAATCGTGCATAAAAGAATTCGAAGAAGACTCAATTAATATTCATAAATAATTTGATCATAAACCCACAATTCATCGGATCCCAACAAACACGCCGCAAAATAAGATTACATCAAATAGAACTCCAAGAACATCGAGGAGAACATTGTATTGAAGATCAAAGGGAGAGATAAGAAGTCATCTAGCTACTAGCTATGGATCCGTAGGCCTGTGGTAAACTACTCACGCATCATCATAAGGGCAGCAAGGATGGTGTAGAAGCAGCTTCCTCCGTGATTGATTCCCCCTCCCACAGGGTGCTGGAAAAGGCCTCCAGATGGATCTCGGAAGAACAGAAACTTGCGCAGCGAAAAAAGTATTTCGGGTGGCTCTCTGATGTATTGGGAATATTTATGAATTTATAAAGGTGGAATTAGGTCAAGAGGTGCCCCGAAGGGCCCACAAGCCTGGAGGGCGCCACCTAGGCTTGTCGCTTCCTCGTGACTCCCCATGTCTTCTCCCGAACCTTCTAGGGTCCCTTCTGGTCCAGAAAAAATTAATCCAGAGTTTTTTCTCCGTTTGGACTCTGTTTGATATTTATTTTTTGAAAAGTCAAAAACAAGCAAAAATATAGCAACTGACACTAGACACTAGGTTAATAGGTTAGTCCCAAAAAATGTTATATAGTTGCATATAAAACATCCAAGATTGATACTATAATAGCATGGAACAAGTAAAAATTATAGATATGTTAAAGACATATCTTTGCCCAAAAACCAGCTCTCTTCTGCCCTAAAACTCTTTTAGGCATTAACTTTTACATCATATGTTGGAGATGCTCTTGTGTGCTCGCAGGCATAGATTTAAGGACAACGCTAACACTCACACGTGTGGTGGGAGCAAAACACACCCACACGCCCTATAACACACAGACTGCACCACGTCACCGCATGCATGCATGTGGAAATCTTTTTGGATTTTTAGTTTTTAAAATGTTTTATCTCTTAAATGAAAAATCCGATTGAAGATCCGTTTTCACCATTAAATCCCTCGCGACGAGAACTTCGAAACTAGATCTCATATCAATATATTTTGATGAAATATTTTTGGGGTTAAAAGTTGTCATGTCTATTGCACATGGATTGCCATGGTGTTTACACCGAAGTTGTCATGATATGTTTCAGCTATTTTCTTCTACATTTAAAAGTAAATTTTGACATATTATAAAACCGGGAATTAAGAAACTAGACTTGCCATGAACCATAAACTAAAATTGCCATAATACATGCACTTAAAATTACCATCGTTCATACAAAAAATAATTTCCATGGTCAAAGTACTGGAATTGCCACCATCGAAATACTAAAATTGCCATGCTCTACAAACTAAAATTGCCGCATGGCAACTTAAGTTTAAGCACGGTGGCAACTATAGTGTAAACATCATGGCAACTTTTGGGCAAAAAAAATTGGCGTAGCAGCGATATTTCGATTCATCCTTTTCTTTCAAGGATTTCATAATTGGACATTGAACCCATTTCATATGATGGGAGTTGCCGGAGTATTAGGTGCGGCTCTGCTATGCGCTATTCATGGAGCGACCGTAGAAAACACTCTATTTGAGGACAGTGATGGTGCAAATACCTTCCGTGCTTTTAACCCAACTCAAGCTGAAGAAACTTATTCAATGGTCACTGCTAACCGCGGAACATATCAACACGGAGTCTAGTTTTGAAGATCTCGTTGAGACGGATATAATGGTGAAAACGGATTTTTAATTAGGAGATAAAACATTTTTAAGCCGAAAACCAAAAAGATTCCTGCTGATGTCATCTGTTCACACGTGGCAAAATGAGTGGTAATGAAGGCGTGTGGGCCATGTGCAAAATGCCACACGTGTGAACATTAGTTTTTTCCTAGATTTGATTGCATGACGATGTCCACACCAAGGATATGCACATGAGCCGCTTGTCTGCTCACTCTGCTACTGCTCTTACTAGTGTCTCTTCCTCTACTAGTAGTTTTGAGACAAGGCATCGTGCCATGATATGGGTGCGTCTCCATGAAGTTTTTTTTTTGGCAAGTGGTAGCTGCAATACACGGTTACTTTGGCTTGGTAGTGCTCTTCTAGCGCCGGTTCCCGAGCTCTGAGGTGAAAACCCTTAGGCTGACCTTTGGTGGTTGAACCTGACAATGGCGGTGTCTTGCGGGCTGGTTCCTTGTTGAAGGCATTGCTTTGGAGTCTGCTCAAACATGTTCTTCAAGGGAAAAACCCAAGATTTGACCTGCGATGGTTGGATTCCTCGACGACGGCGATTGTGCGTTGTTACCTTCCCGGAGGTGGTGTCTCCGAAGAACCTTTCTCGTTCGAGGTCTTTTTAACGTGCTCCTTCTAACCTCCCCTTTCACACGAGAGGTAGGAGTATAAAATAAATCTAAGCCGTTGATTACATTAAGTAGTGGGTTTGATTAACTCTTACCTTCTTATCTCCTATGTGAAAAGAGAGGGTAAGAGGGTAAGAGGGGGGAAGAGAGCATGCTAAATTGCTCCTCTCGTAACTCGTGTGTTGTCAAATACGTTGGTCGACATTGATGCTGGTTTGTTGCAAGTCGTCGGCCATGTCAGCTATCTTTGCCTTTCTTCCTTCTTCTTTTCATTTTTTTGGCAGTATGCATTGTTGTTGTCTCGACTAGGCCTTGATGTTGTGTCGTCGTTGATGTAAGTGTTATAGCTTGATATTAATATGTTGGTCTTTCAAAAAAAATCACTCCTTCTGATTCACAATAAATGTCGCAGTTTTAAACTAATGTTGAGGGAGTATCCACTGGCACATAATTGACCAGATTACATGAAACTTAAAACGATCCATTGGTACAGGAGTGATGTGACACGTTACGGGCAGAGCTATGATGAATGACCGCTCACCTTCGCCCGCATTCCGCCTGCAGCTCCAGTCAGTGTACCTAACCACTGATCACTCACTCATTTCCTGCGGTTAATCCCATCCATTGCAGGTTACCTGGGTTGCTTAGCCATGGGAGAAGCTCCCCTGCTTTTGTGCGGATGAAGCAACAGGCAGGCGGCATAGCTCGGCCGACCGACACATATGGTTGGCTACAGCCGACGAACCCATGCAGGCCCTAACTAAACATATTTTTTTAGGAAAAAACATTACTGTGGGAGTATTAAAATTCTACGTACATAGTGTAGTTCTTGATGTTACTCAGGTTGCTTTTTGATCGATCTACCTATCAATGTACGTATACCCTCCCCGTAAAAAAGTACGTATACCCTCCGCAATTCCGCATGTACGTAGTATACCTCATGAAACCTTGCGGTTGGTCAGACTGACATACACGAATGATCGACGTTGCCGCTCAATTAGTTAGCTTTCGCGTCGCACAAGCTTTGTATCCACGGAAAGGGAAACGGCACTGGGGTTTCTAGGTGCGCCTTCTCCATCACTCCCATTCCTAATCATTCCATGCAACATCCAGAGAAAATGAAAATGATTCCACGCACACACACACATTACACACACTCGCCTTATATATAAGCCATCGCAGTCCATCTTGGACGCTGATCTACTCGCATCAAATCTTGGCACACGCACATACATTTATATGTAATCTGCATCGCGATTTTGATTCAGATAGATAGATAGATGGTGACGACGATGGGGCACGTGGTGGCGCTCCTCTCCGCTGCCCTCTCCGGCGGCGTGGTCGGCTGCAGTCGCCACGACGACCACTACCACTCGGGCGGCTGCTGCGTGTGCATATCAAGGTTCCGCGACGGGGAGGACATACGCAGCCTGCCGTGCGGCCACGCCTTCCACCGGCAATGCGTCGACAGGTGGTTGGCGCTGTGCCGCCGGACCTGCCCGCTCTGCCGCCTGCACGTCGGCGGCGTGACAGATGAGCACCAGCTCAGCGACGACCTCGTCATCTGGTTCTCTTCTCTCTTCGTCGCCGGCTTGTAGCCTGTAGGAACATCAGTCCATCGCTGCTCTGCGGTGTAGGCTCTTAGTCGATGAGCATGTCAAGCATTTCTCATGGAGAAATCTCACCGCTCGTGGCGGGCCCTACTTCTACCCCTTGTTCTAGGCTTTGCTTCACTGATATAAGTGATAAACAGTTCAATATGGAGGCTCATGGCACCAAAAAGTTAAATTATGTCAAACAGACAGACGTCCTTCTCATTATACAACATGGGTGAAGTGTGCCAACAGTTATTCTAGTTGTCCCGACAGTTATTCATGTATACATTCTTTGCGGCCGCAAGTTGGTTGCTTCAAAACAACAAGTTACTGTAACTAATTCACTACGCTACACTAGTTGTCAACTGAAGAACTGCGACAGGCATCACCTGACCTCCAGGATCCATCGGACGCAGTCCTGGAGTAGCTCGAACTTCTGGCTCACCGCGACGTTCAGGAAGACCCGCATCTTGCCAAGGAACTGCGGCGCCTCCTCCTTGCACCGGAACGAACCTCCACAGTTGCACTGCTCCGACACATGGGCCGCCTTCACCTGCCTGCACCGGACGCACACCAGGTCCTGCAGGTGGTACAGCCTCTCTCGCTGCCGCACAATCTGCAGGAGCGCGTTCTCCATCTCCTCGCGGTGGTACGGCTGCCCACACTGCGGCACCGCGCACCTCCACTCGTGGCCTTGCAGCGTCGAGTCGCGGCAGAGGTCAAGGTCCCGGCAATCGTTGCAATAGCTGCCAACATCACTCTATTTGTAAGAGACAGGGTGACGCTAACATAACAACATCAAGGGGAAACAAAAGCGGCTCGGTTCAAAGTTGCAATACCTGCAAATCACGTTCGGGAGAATGAATGAGGCACAGGGGTCTTGGAACTGTGCTTCTGGAGCAAATTCCTTTACACGGACCAACTTTAACAAGTTCTTTCGCATTCTCTGTCATAGATATATTGGATAATGAGAATATTAGTAATAATAATAATAATAATAATAAAGGAGTTAACTCTAAACCAGAACATGACACAGTATTCATAGACATGTAATAAATAATTCAAAATCAGGAGGCGACAGTACTACATTTAAGAGATATATCAAACTAAAATAGTCGGTTATGCACCGGCGTACATGGCCCCACCATGGCAGCTCCCAGTTATGGGATGGGATCCTCAATCTCTATATTATGTAGTCTATCAATTAAATTAAATTAGGAAGGTATCTTTCAGCTTGGCCCATAGGACAATTAGAGATAAGACCTACAATTTGTTACTAAGGTTGGGAGCCCCTATGAGGAATAAAGCAACCAAGAATTACAAGAATAGTTCTAATATTTTGCCACCAGGGGCAAGAGCCTCTTCTTAACCCTAGTGCACAACAGTACAGTACAGCGTCAATCAAGAAAGAAAACCATGCTATTAGACTGCATTTCACTTGACAACTAGATTGTGACACAAGAACAGTACAGGTAGGACACTGAACAAAGTTGATGAGCAGATGAAGATAACACATAATACCGGTTTTAAGTTGCTAAAGACAAAAGGAAGTTATTACAGGCTGAATATGGTTCGATAGAGAATTACCAGAATATCATGCTGAACATTCTGATCGAGAGCAAGAACAGCACATATATGTTTAATGAACTCCAATGCAGCATCGCCTTTATGTAAGTGAGGATCAAGTTCACTATTTGAAGGTCCAACTGATTCAGACTTGCCTTTTCCTTTGAAATGGAGAAGTATATCGCTCACAATTGTGAGAAGCTTTTCCGCAAAATAAGTGCCGATCTGCAAAAAAAATAACAGATTAGAGGAGGTCGTGTTTGATGATTCTGACAAGGTATAAAAAAGGTGGTAAATTCCTGGTTGGTAGGGTGTACCTTCATGGGCAAAAAAAAGTAGACTAAATGGCTAGAAAATTCCATTTGAATGTTGTAAAGATCATACTATATGAGCGTGTGCAAGCTAATTAAACCTACTACCACCAATGGGTTGAGCAATTTCCATGATTTCTGAGGTGTTCAATTTACTAAAGCAGTAAAACCTCGCAATGAAAATAAAAAGCCAAAAAGATTCTAGATGTACTTCAATTTACTTTAACTATGTGTACAGTTTACATCTTCAAATTCATGGCAAGTTAAGAGTAACATAAATGAAAATAATCTGAGAAATGATAAACTAAAAGTAATTGGAAGGACAAATATCCTCGTAAATGAAGATTTCATGTTCGAATTCCCAGAGAACATATCTATTTTGTTCCAGAATTTCATGTCTAAGTTTTGAAGGTTATTACGACACCCTTACATAATATATTGCAGAAGATATATTTTTTGTGTCAATCTATGCCCACACCAGAAGTTGACTGAAGTGCACAATAAACAGAGACAGCATGGCATAATCAACACGCAATTAAGTGGTTACGGACTAGATTACACTATAGACAATGCCAATGTCCAGAGTGACATATAATATATGAGCAGAGGATACTGGAATTACCTGCCCACGGAGGTAATCAACGACCTGTCCCTCAAGATTCTCAGCAGCCATGATTGTTATAGATGGAGTACATGAGGTGTCATCCCTCATAGCTGCTCGACAAGCTACTTGTTCTTTCATGTATTTCCATGGAACATATAGGAACTCCGATACGATCAAGACAAAGTGATCCTGGATATTTTTAAAGAATGTCAAGTGATTGATTATCAATTGCAGAACTATTACTGAACATTTGATGCACAATTGAGAACGCCGCAGTCAGCAAAGAGAAATGCTAATTTCAAGTGCCTTTTGACTTAAGATGTCTGACCTGTGTAGCTTTGGGCAAGTATTCTGCTATGTTCCAGCTTGACACGATGTCAATATCATCATCACCATCCGAACTGTCTGCAGATGTTACATTTTGTGTTTTGGCCTGAATCCCACCGTAGTTGTACTGAAACAGGAAACAGAAAATGAAACATCAAAGGTGGAAGCGTGTTCTTAAGACGAACAGTTAATTAGTCCATCTTTCGTAAAACAATTAAATATACAAACCTGATCCATGAACAGTAAGGAGTGCCAATAGTGCAAAGGTTCCAGCTCTATCCACTCGAAAAGATCCCTAAAACACAGATGTTCTTAGTTTCACTTAGGTGACACACATATCTGCAGCAGGAGGTCAAACAGTACCTTGTCTGTAAGGTTTTCAGCAAGCTATCACAGTATGCACGTGCTGACGGCAAGTCCACTTTTCCGGTATCTATGATTATCTTAGAAAAGTTTGCAAAGATAACATTAGCTCCAAGCTTTCGAAACTCAGCTAATAATAGAGCAAAGACCTTCTTCATGACCTGATAAAGTTTGACAGCCCAAAAGAAAAGACAGGGTAAGGAAACTTACAGGCAAAGAAACAAATGCCCACAGGGTATCAAATGATACAGAAATAGAGAAGAGCATTCATCACTACGGAAAATACTTATTACACCACAAATGTATTAGCAAATAACAGGCAACCTGTAACTCTTGTAGCAATAAAAGAAGTCAAAGACTGACAGAGAAGTAATTTAACTTACATTATGAAGGAGGCGATGGAGAGCTGGGTCATGAAGTCTTGATCGTGGGCTGAAAATGTAGACATGAGAATGTCAAAAGAGCATACTAAAATTAGAAAAACAATTAGTAAGAGGTTTAAGTGCAAACATATCGAATTATAACCTGCAAAGCCAACGGTAGAGATGTTGTAATATCGCATCAGCAAATACATTTCCAGAAGACACTGCATCCGAGATGCATCTTTGAATGAGTTGCTTCAGCACTTGGAAAGCAGGTAGGCACAAGCTGGCGTCATTATAGTCAGTCTCGGTGGCATTTGGACCAGGAGGAATATCATTTTCAAAGTTGCCGATAGATCCTCCTTCCATTTCATCCACTTGACTGCTCTTAAGGAGAGAATTAACCGCCAAATGATGAATCTGCAGAAGAAATATGTGCAAATGTAACTAAATTACCAGGAGATACATAACCACATGTGAATGCAGATTTGCAAGAGGCCAGACGCCAGACGCCGGATCAACTCTCCCATCTTTGAGCTGTTTGCTCTAGCAGCATGGGATATTTGGAACCAACGGTTTCAAGGCTTAGTTCTTCCAATCATGGAAGCATAGATTTCAAGATCTATCTCTGCTAGTCTATAGGGTCAAAGACACCCTTAGGCTACATGTTATCTCTTTCCTAGAACGCTAGTAGTTTTGCTTTCTTTCGTTTGGGAACCCTAAATATTTATCTCTTTCCTAGAATGCCAGCTCCTACTGTTTTCAGGATGAGCTTATTACGTTCTATGATGTCCAGGCAAATGCATTATGGGCCTACCTTAAGCTCAACAGAAATCCTCCTATAAGCGCCAGGATATGTTAGTGCAGGTTGAATGACCTGCAAAATAAGGTCATATTTAAGTCAAGCAGCAAAAAGAGAAAAGGAAAGCGTAAAAAACCAGGCAGTCTTAAGACAGCAAAAGAGGGCTTCTCACTTCATCAGCAAAGCATGTATCTCCTTCATATGTGCCGCCTAAATCAGGAATACCATCATCAGATATCCATAGTACCTAGCATGTACATGTCAGAAAGAAACTTAGAAATTAGATGTCCATACCACACCATGCTAATTGCACTCAGCTTTGTGAAGAGAAAAAAAGGGTTCCAATATATAATTTCTTGAAAACTAATTTTGAGAAAGGACACATGCAAGGGCCAAAGAACTTTTAGCACATTTTGAAAATAACTCGATCAAGCTGGCGTGACAAAGGTCTCAGCATGCCATCATTCCTAGTTTCCTACTTTCATCAAAAACTGGGCACTACGAAGGCAGAATCAACAAGTAAAAGATTGGTTTTCCAAGTCTACACCCCAAACTATCACACAAAGTCTGGATAAGCCCCACAGCATAACTTATTTACCCAACATCCGAACCATGCTAAAGTACACCCCTGAGGTGGTTTTGCTAACATTGATCCAACCATCCAAATCAGCATGGTCTTGCCACTGTGTTTGCCATAATGTCATGCCAACTTTCGCTAGAATTGGATGGTAGTCTCTCCCGGTTCTGTCGCAGCACTGCCACGAAAGCACGTGTACCATGTTTGACGAAATATCCCGACGTGGTATTGGTGAGACTTGTATGAGATCTCACATTTAGGTGAGATCGTGAGATCAACCCCAAGAAATCATATTTAGACATTTCAAAAAAATCTGAAATTATTTGACATCATTCATGTGGGGTATGTTTACAGCTCCGAAAGAATCAACTCAAAACTCAATGTAAATTTAGAATTCAAAAAAGACAAATTTGAATGTGAATAGTAGCAGCTTTGGTGAATAATACTTTGACACTATTCACATCCGATTTTGATTTTTTTGTTACTATTGATGTAAGCTGAATTAGGAGCTGAAACTTTTTGGGGTTGTACATCAAACATTGATGTGTGTCTACAAAAAAGTTGAAAATGTTTAGACATGTATTTTTTTTCAAAAAAAACGATCTCATAGATTTCACCTAATGTGAGATCTCACACAAGTCTCCCCCCAGTATGTATCAGGGCAATGAACGTAGGCCAGAGTAACTGCAGGCACAGCCATCTGAAAACTTGCCGTCCAAGATGCCCAGCACTAGAGCAAGGAGATGACTGGATCTGGCATTGCCCGACTCGAGGCACAGGCTCAGTCTCACAAACTCCTAGACCTCAGGTTTAGTGGTTACTTGCCTAACCAACATAGATGTTCAAAGTTCTTCCTATTATGTGCACACTGTCTGGAGGTAGTTAAAGCCGGGGCTATCAATCAATCATTTGAGTGATGGTGGCACCGCAGCTCTGTACCAGCTGTGTGGCCTGCCTCTGATGCTCCCTCGTAGGCCAGCACCATGGCTCTGTGTGTGACGTATGGAGCTCGATATGCCAGGGGGAAAGAGGAACAACACTAGAATGTTGAGGTGGAACAAATTGAAGGATCAACTAGGCGTAGCATTGTCGAGTGAGTTCAGATCTGTCACCACAGAGCAAGCAGGGAAGCGAATCCGCTCCAGAAATTGGGCAGAACAGCAGTGAGCACTTACGGGATGTGGAGAAGGTGGTTAGGTAGATGCTGCCAGGTTGTGATGAGGGGATGAATACTTTTTTTTTGCTAATTATGTACTTGTCACAAAAATCAAGTGGCTGGCAAAGGAAGTGACAAACCCACATTGATTTGGATCAACGTAACCAAAACCACCCTTCCCCGACCTCTTCAAGGAAATCCAGGCCTCTCCACAGCATGTACGCCACATTAGGTGGCTGGGTATTGGGGTTCTGGCTTGGACGCTTTGAACGGTCCGCAATAAACTTGTGATCCAGCGTGTGCCTCTTCGACGTGTGTATATTTGCAGCTTTGGCGGCCGCTTAGCCACCCTCAGGACCGTGATGCTATCAACATCATTGCAGATCTTCGCGCGATGGCTCTCCGCTTGGCGCCGCCGCCTCCTCCACCGCCTCCCGAGCCGGATTAGACTCTTCAGGTCTTGTGCTACCGCCTTTATTTTCATTTCCTTAGGGCTTGTTGAGCTGTGCCCTCAGCAGAACCCTCTCGTACTTTGTTGTGTGCTACCTTTGCGTGTGTGTGCGGTGTGAACTTTTGTGGGATTTTGTGGCTCTGGTGGTTCGCTTTATATATAAAGCGGGGCAAAAGCCTTTTTCGGTAAAAAACAAGGCCAGAGGGGGGGGGTAACCCCTCGGCATATTTTTATAGAAGGAGCCAGAAACACAGTTGTAGTATCTGCTCCCTGTGGGTGTCGAACCCGGCTGGCCTGGAACACAATACAGTGTCCCTACCATTGAGCTAGTGCTCAGTTCTCTACCAAAACCACCCTCTGTAACTGCCTCAAGGTGTAGTAAGCAGGAGTTTAGTCAAGAAGAACTTCACAAAGCTTCCGCGTATGACATGATACGCAAAGCTTTTGCGTATTGAAATGATAGGCAAAGTTTTTAACTCGACCAGAAAGCAATTTGTTCCTTGCAAAAAATGGCCCTAGTCACTAAGTTTTGAATTTTGCTTTGCACTTCTAACAATACAAAAAAGAATCAACTTCACCATCCTGAAAGCTGGAAATTCTGTAGTGCTATACCAATCCAATGTTCAGTTGAAGACGTGGCAGTAGTCAGGAGCATTTGCCTTGTGAGATGGAAGAGCTTTCTTGAAATTATCTTGGACTGCCCTTGTCCATCAGAAAGTTAACAAAAGCCCAAGTTCAACCTATTATTGATAGAATTCCTGACCAACTTCCGGGATGGAAGGCCGAGCAATTATGGTTAAGGCTGTGCTAACCTCTATGGTTAAAGCAATCAGAAGATATTTCTTGTGGAGAGTAAGGAAAGAGGCTAAAGGTGGTCACTGTTTGATTGCATGGCCGAAGGTTTGCCGATCCAAGGAACTTGGAGGTCTTGGTGTTCTTGACTTCAAAGGTTGGGCCCTGCGAATACGATGGCTTTGGCTGTGCATAATACCCAGCCGGATAAACCTTGGGCCAGGTTCACTATACAAGATGGACGGCTGACCGCCTTTCTCGGAGGCGTTTGCCACATCCAGAATGCTGCCTGCTTTGTGATCAGGACGAGTCTTCCTTCGGTTGGTTGCCCATAGTAGATGATGGACGGCTGACCGCCTTTCTCGGAGGGGTTTGCCACATCCAGAATGCTGCCTGCTTTGTGATCAGGATGAGGAAACGATACATTACATCCTTGCATCTTGTATCTTTGCAAAAGAGACCTGGTCGCTCCTGTTTAGATATCTTGGTCTCCCTGACTTGGTGCCCCAATCACCTTCTGCATTTTTCTTTGACTAGTGGTCCAGAACCATCTCTATTGTGCGAGGTTCTTTGCAAGCTGGTTTGAACTCCTTAATTGCGCTTGGTGCTTGAATGATTTGGAAGCATCAAAATGAATTTGTATTCATCGGGAGTTCACCTAATGTCCAAAGGGTGCTGCTGGCCGTGTCAACTTCAACCTGGACAAGGTCATAGCTGTGGCACTAGAAGCTAGCATCGGTGGACTGTGCGGCAAGCTTGAGGTTGTATCCCTACTAGGCCGCGTGTTTCACTTCTCTGTATCCTCCAAGCGTGTTGGCCTCCAGATTGTCACAACCTGATTCTATGGGTGTGTTTGGATCGATGCCTATGGCAGCCAAGCCAAGAAAAATTGGGCGTTGACCAGAGGGTGAGCACGTGGTTGGTTGTGGGCCAATAATTTGGCTCGCACGGACCAATGCTGCTTCACCAGTTCATTTTGGCGCCAATGCATTGGCGAGTTGCCGGCGGCAGAAAGCTGCGCCAATTTTTTGGCAAGCCCGTAGTTTAGTAGGGCAAGCAGGGGCATCATGCCATCATCCAAACACACCCTATAGATGTGATACTTTTGCTCTCAAGATCTGGCTAGATCAGCTTGAGGCTAATTCTTGAGCTAGTGCCTAGCTTTCTGCAGTTTCATCCTTCTGTTAACACCCCGACCCAAATATTCTCTAATTCAATAAAAAAATACTATCAGGGCCTCCCCTGCAGTTTTGCACTCAAAAAGATAAGGGGCTCACCACAAGGAACAGAACAGAAGTAAAGTGTGATTTAACCTATTTAGATAAAATACAGCCTAATTACATCAACTCAAGATAAAACAAACCTGTTGTTGATCATGCAATGCCCTTGAGAAGAACACATCAGCAGTAAAAAGAAGCCAATCAAGTTCAAAGTTTCCCAATGGCACCTGTTTCAGTAAGAATTGATGTAAAGTCATTTCATGTAAACTGAAATAATTCACTAGAACCACAATAAAGAACCCCTACATGTGCATATCTAGCAAGTGAAATTCTTTCATTGAACCATTGAGTTGATGCAGCACAGCGCTGCATGCTTGTTCTACCAGCTGTCGCTTGCCAACCAAGAGCCTGGATAAATAGGTGTAAGCAAAACAACAAGGCAAAGAAACAAAAATGCAAAGAAAATATAACCATTGGGGCCCCCATTACATACCTGATAGTTGTTGTCCCGTGCATTGCAAGGAATGGTTACACACGGGAAATCATCAAGTGCACGTACAGATTCCCTTATAGCTTGGAGTTTAGGGCATTCAATGATGCCTATGACAGGTCCAGGATGTTGTTGTCTGAAATATTTCACTTAGTTTATCGTAAGAAAATATCTGAAATAATCATTACTTGGCTAGTTCTCTTTTGTTGAAAGCTTTGACTAGTATATTGCTAATGACCCAACTGGTAGAGACAGACATTCTTCAATTTAGTAACATTTGATCGATACGAGACTCTACTCCATTATTGGCGCATGTACATATTTACGATGCTATTATGCATCTTGCGAAAAAAAAGAATATTAAATTGAGATTATGCTGAATAATTTTAAATTCAGATAGTTTTATTAAACATGACTGGCCAGTACAGGTAATCAGTAAGTTACCAACAAAACCAGGCTACAGAAACTGAAACTGAATACATACATGTTCATACCTGTTAGTGCCACAGCTTACTGAAGCAATTCAACAGCATAGACAACTCACAGAAAGAGAATGATGGAATATGATTGATGCTTGATTTAAACAGAAAAATGGCTTACCTGTACTCAAGTAACATTCGTTGCACATATTTGCTACCTGCATCCATTGATGTGTGGTAGTCCACCTAAAATAAGGAATCAACGAATCAGAACTTAGCAAAGAAACAGCAAGGTCAAGTTTGTGTTTTATGTATCATTTTTCCCAGTCATACATACCTGGAAAGTGAGATTTTCATGCAAAGGGTCAGGAGTTTGGCAAGCATCCCGAAATTGCTTTTCAAGAAACGCAGGTGACAGTTCTTTATTGCGGAAAGGATTGATAACCACTGCATGTACTCTGAGAGATGTAGGGAAGTACATGACATATACAGCCCTTCCTTCAGAGACACTGGAAATAGGAGAATCCATAGATCAGTGTCAAATGAAAATCAACATTTTACCGTAAGAGCACAACGGCTTATGCACGGCAACAAGACTAGCATTGAAAATGCCGGTTATCCAACATATCAGTACTCAAGACTATATAGTTTTGATTGGTAAATTGCAGGGAAATTGCTTTTGGATCCCAGACCCCATGGAACCTGAATTTTTTAAAAACACAAAAAAAAACATATTTTTGAAGTTCCAAATTCTGAAAAAAAATACACATGAACATAGGGATGTAGCCTACGTTTATGTACAATTTCATGATGAAATGTATTTTGGTGCAAGTTACACACAAAAAAATCCATGTATTGCTAGCACACTAAAAATCATGTAATCACTCTAAAAGTCCATGGGTTTTTTTTGTGCAGCTCACCAAAACGTATTTCATCATGAATTTTTACAGAAATGTAGTATGCATCCCTACGTTCATGTATATTTATTTTCAGAATTTTTTGAAACTTCAAAATATGATAGTTTTTTTTTCAAAAACCAGGCCCCATGGAGCCTGGTAGCAAGAAATCCACTATCCTAATGTTCAACCTACCATACATTTAGGAGGGTAAAGATAGTTTTACTAGTAACGGTCTAGTTTTCATGAGAATCAATCCTTGGGTCCTGGAAAGGATTAAAAATAACATTTTACTCCGCAAGTGCTTGAATGAATGAACTTCTCTTGCCTTTTCTACTTTGACAGAGACAAATAATGGGTTTAAGTGATCCCTCAAGGTAAAGTATATGATGAGTGAAAAATACAAATATAATGCAGAAATAAGGCATTAAAGAAACAATAGTATCTCATGCAAAACATCTTTAACTCTAGTTGTACAATGATACTTGCAACAAGCAAAATATAGAACTGGTAATAAAGCAATTCAAATCAATTTAGATAGCCATTGTAGGTCTTCTCACAGCTATCATCAGGCCTACCTGTGGTATAGATAGAAAAATGAAACTGTTTGTTCCAGGTATGAGAACTCTGCAGTTGTTTTCATTTGCAAGTCAGCAAGATCCCATCCATCTTGGATATTTCGTTTCTTCGCAGATTTGTCCACTTTGCAGACACAACCAATTTGGAGAATAGCATTTAGCTCCAGTGGAATTTTCGTCTCATATATGCCCTAGATGCAAGTCCAATATCTGTAAGGGGATAAAATAGAAACAATACAAGACCATATGCACAAGTTGGCAAATACTCACTTCAACATCTGGCTCTGCAAGATGAGCAGCAAGTTTTCTTCCTTCAGCCCTGAACTGTTCTTCACTAGTTACAACCTGGATGCTACAGCCATTAGTATGTAATCTAAATCGCATCCCTAGTTACTTTCCAGCTACTGTTTTAAGATTTTCACCTCGATGAGATTGAAAGATGGTTTTCCATGAGGAAGAATCTTCTTTACACGCCTTCCTGGAAACTCATCTGTGATAGGAGCTTTCGAGTTTAGGTAGAAAACTCTAGGCACATTGATGGGAATCTTGAACATGATACCATCAGCAACAACCCATGCAAAAAAACGGCCAGGCAATGTACTTGGAGCAAGCTGGATTATCTGATGCGGAACATATATATGAAATCATCAATTGTAATAAATATAACTACAAATAGTACAGAAAATAATAAATTTTGAAAATTTACATGCCTGCCAATGTGATCTAAAGAGGGACAATTCTTGTTTCTGGAAAAATGTAGACCGATTCCTACCATTGCCATGTAACTGACTGACATTTCTTGCAGAAAACAAATTATTACTGGGACCCTCGGAAGAGGCTGCAGCACCCAACCTGATAGAAGCAGAAGCAAATATGAGCATTGATTGTCCATCAGTACTTAGTTTACTCAGCTTAGTCTCAATTGCATTAGTGGCTCCAGCATAACAGTAGATGAGTTCAAATAACATAAGTTGTCTATTTAACCCATACAAAACATGGATGGTCCATTGCTTAAAAAACATAATAAAATTTGTTTTCAATGACATCTGGAACACTGGAAGCTGGTGCAGCTATCATAGCACCACAGTAAGAGTTCAAGTACTTTATATGATGTCTTGATCTCATAGGCAGGCAAAAAATAGTACACCGCCCACATAGGAGCGCCACACTGTGTACACTGAATTCAGTCAGTAACAGTTGTAGTCTCAAGGCAAAACTAGATGAGTAGATGTTGGCAATTGGCACCCATTTTATGCATTTGCCAAGCAGCCAAGGTTCATTCTCTTGCATAAATTGGTACATAAGTGTTAGATGTGGGTCATTATTGGTGATGGGCAACCTTAACCCATCAAAGGATGTATCTTTGGAACTTGGTTTGCAGATAAGCATGGAACTCAAGATAATTCATGGCAAGATCTCAAAAAAATTCGGAGCGCGGAACTCAGACCAGTGTAATCTGGCGTCCACGGGCGCCGCTGTTGGGACTGGCACTGCAGCGGACCCGCCATCCTCAGACAGGACGTAAACATGCCAGTTTTGGAGGTTTGACTGAGTTCAGCACCCATCTGGTTCGTAGCTGCACTTTTGGCGAGATCCCTTTTCTACGATGTGTTCAACGCGTCCAAGACTTAGAAAAGTATGGCAAGATTTCCTTAGGCTAGAAAAAGGTATGGCTCTGATTTCAGTAACCTAACCATAGGCAAGTTTGACAAAAGAAAGAAAAATGCTGGAAACTTTGGCAGCCTTAGTATATGAACCAAGCATCATGCTCTTTGAAATGAATCTGCCTGGAGTGAAAAGTAGAATTTGAATGTGGGAGAGGACAATTAGAAGACATCTAGGGGGACAAGGAAGTGTCAGAGACAAAATCCAGCCAGGAAAGTCTCTGCCACCCAAAGGGACCAGGCCCATCTCTCCTCAACTATGAAAGGGGATGTGTCCCATTGGTTTTGTGCATCCAATCCCATGAGTTCTGATTTTGAAACTTGTCTTATTTTAGTTGATAGGGCAGCAGAAATCTGCTAGGTAGACCTTAGCTTTACATTATATGATGATGACAATACAGCCCTTCATATTGCTCTAGTTGACTAAGTTTTACTTCTACCTTGCCTCTTCTTTCTTGTTGATCATCTAGTATACAGGAAATATTTTCTTTATATTAAAAGCATTTCTATCTAATTAGTGGGTCCCTTTAAATCGTAGTGATTAGGTCGATGTTGTGAATCCTTGCGTTTTAGTTTCTTTCTTGGTTTTGATTGCACACAGATTCAATACATCCTTACGATCAAGGGTCATCACAGCAGCTATTGGTTGTCACCTAGCAATATTTACTAAAATCAAACAGAAGGGCTCGGATCTACCAGGCAAAAAATATTTAACTGTGTGTATAGTTTAGTTGTGTAATCATTACCTTCGACGTTTCTTCTGTTCGCGGACATATTTCCATTTTCTCTTCCTGGCCTCAAGCCATCCTTGGTAATCAGTGCTTCTATCAACTCTTTCATCAGCAGAGTCATCTCGGAGTGGTTCATTTGACCTGATTACAGATTTTTGCTGGTTTTTGCAATGACCCAAACTAGCTTTTGCTGATGGTGACCCATTTGGATGATTTTCTTTGCCGATGTTAAAACTATGGGAAGCAGTAGCTTTTCTCAAACCTTTGTCTGATGTTAATAAATCCTCTATGTCTCCAGTTCCATTCAAGTTATGCATCCCCATGTCTTTATTCAAGGGACTGAACATATCACGTAGTTTGCGCTGGCGAAATCGATCATCCTTCTCTCTGACCTTTTTATGCAACCAATCAGGATGAAGAACTCGGGGAACAGGATTTGAAATCTGTAGAGTTGAATATCTCAGAAAATGGTGCATAATAATTAACAGGAACAAGAAAGAGTTATATATTACCTTTTGCATCGCTGCAGGAATAGTTATGATCTTCTGAATAGCCGAGCTTAGGCGCTGCTTGTAGTAAGACCAATCAAGAATAAATCGGATGTTTGCTTCCGTGGAGACTTTGCACCATTTTCTTAAATAGAACTTTGCAACCTCTGTCAAATACGAGGATAGCAAGAGAATGTAAGTAAGTTGAATAGTTTGGGGATACAAAAGCAGCGATTTGCATGAAAAATATTACCAGCATCTGTCTCAAAAATAGCCACCGGAACAGCACGCTCGCTCACTGGGGTGCCCTACATTATTTGGGAAAGACAAAATAACCATAAACAAATTAATACAACGGTTCAATCCACTTAAAATTATAGGAGCAAAGCAAACTATTGTCATCAAATGAATGAGGGGATTCTTGTCCAGATGCTGAAAGGGTCACATAATTTATTGGCAAATATAAAGATTAATAAGTTATAGGGTAAAAATCTTAACACTACAGTACTTACTTGTGGCTCTCGTGCAACTATATATTGGCAGTGCAGTCCTTTGTCTTTAACCATTGAATCTCCAAGGAATTCTGCAAGTCTTTTTGCTGTAGTTACAGCACATGACTTCTGTTCTCCATAGTCAACAAGGGACTTACTCATTGTGCTTGACTCTGATATGAACCCAAGCAACTCACTGTCAGAAATATCAATTCCTTGATTCTGCAATAGACAAATATTGTTAGATAATACTGCATGGGTTTAGCAATGCAAGTGAGTAGGTTAGACAAAGAGGATACGATTGTGAATTTTGCAAACCACTTACGTCCAGTAGATCTAACCAGCGGTTAGCAACAGAGGCAACAGCTGCATAGCACTCCTCTAAAGTAGAGCCATGGAGAAATTTATCAAATACCTCCGCCTACAAATAAAAACATAAATCAAAGAAAATGTATTAGCCATATACTAACTGATGTAGTAGTCCCTGTATTCCTGTTTAGGATGCAAAAATTAGTAACTGATGCAGAACTGGAGCATGTACCTGAAAAACTTTGATGAGCTTCAGCTCACCTCGACGCTTAATCTCAAAGCCTTTAAGTTCTGCCAGGGTTCCATCTTCATTGAAGACAGCATACCTCTTCTTTATCAGAATCCCTTCCTCTTTAGAGGCAGGTAGAATCATGGCCTGTAATTTTAGCATGCATTGTGACATGCAAATAAAAGTTATGATCAGTTTTGGGATTAGACAAACTAACTTGGATCGGGGAATGGATATATTGCATGAGTAGAAGGAAAGTGGTCATAATAAATCACTTCACCTTGTATGGTCCATCTACCTCAAATTCGATGGAGCATTCACTATTTGTTGTGTATAGCTTGCTTACAGGATCTTTCAATGTCTAACAGGACAAGACAGGAATAGAGCAAGTATTATTCCAGTTGTTAGAAAGAAGAATATCAACAATGGATGAACCTAATAATTTAAAACATAACTTGCAGAAGAACAACTCTTACTTGATATTGATCATTGGTGTTGGTTCTTGCAACATCAACATTAAGCATCACACATGGATAAGATATTGTGAGCTTCTTCTCAGCTCTGCAATATCATCAACTAGTGTTAGCATACTAAATTGAGTGTTCATTGGAGCGTCAGTTCATAATAAACTGGGTAAACGAATCATTTCCCTGGATAGACAGTTACTCGTTTTTTTACTACCGTAAATCCAAAAGAAAGGTAGCTATGAATATGATTCACATGAACTTAAGAACTGAACATTCTTCAATTTTGGTCACTTGCATACTAAGGCGCATAAAATAACAAGAATGGACTCTCAAGCAAAATCATAAAAAAGGGGGCACCCAGTGCTGAAAGCTCCCACACAAGGTGGGGTCTGGGGAAAGGAATTTCTAGACAGCCTTACCCTTGCATAATACTTCTGCAAGGAGGCTGGTTCAAACCCAGGACCTACAGGCCAAGTGGAGAGACTCTACCAGTGCCACAAGTGGAGAGATTCTACCACAAGAATGGACTCTCAAGCAAAATCATAGTATCACATTTTTACAAATTTTACTACAGTATTATGATCAGAATAAGTAGTTGAACTAGTGTCCTGGAGAATGCGCAAAAAAAATTGCACTAATGACAATTCTACATAAGGTATCTTGCCACTAACTTGTGCCTAACTCATTGTTCGAATCACAACAGCAGCTTTTTATATGGAAAAGAGAACAGACTAGTGATAATCAGGCAAGCACTATACTCAGCAGAAACAAATACTTCCATTGAAATACAACAAATAGATAATTAGTGTCCTCACTTTGTCTTGAAAGTAAAATTCTCTGGGAAAGAACCAGGCAAAACACACCAAATGCCATCTGTGTCGAGTTCCAGTGGTCTTCCAATTTTGTCTACAAGTAATCGAGCATTTTGGATGATCTTTGCACCAGTATATGTTACAACACCAGCCATTTCCATAGAGTACCATCTTGCACCCCTAAATCAGAAAGTACATTCGCTATTAAATACCTTCCTTTGTATTGAATAAACTAGTATTACATTTCCATGGAGTACAATATATGGAGACAAAGGAAATACTGTCTGTATAAGTTACACTTACTTGCGCATAACATATCCATAAAAAGAATTTAATATGCACTTGTGAGCAAGTTGCAAAGAATCATATAGCACAACCATGTCCTGCAAAAGTAAAGTAGACATGCACTAAGAAGAAGCTCAAAATGACCAAAAACATAATAAGCACCTAAATAGGCATCACTGAACCTGTGCTTCCTGAATTTTGATAGAATTTCCACTGGCTTTTGCTTCTGACAGTTTTCCTTTCCATGTTTTATTCAGGCCTTTGTATTCGTACCTTCTATCACGAAAGCTGCAGCACCAAAACAAGGGGAGATTTTACAGCAACTCCACAAAAAACACTAGCAGAACAATAGTATGAAATCAACAAGAAAGTGCAGTTTTCTTCATCAGAAATTATCATGTGAGATTAATCCAAGACCAAGTTACTATATAGTATACCATCAACTTTTTTTGAAAGCTAGTATAACACCAACTTTAGGGTTATAATGAACATCTGACAGACCTTCGCACTGTATCAACGTAGAAAGAATTTTCACGCATGCATATTCCAGCTTCTCTAACTTCTGTAATTGGTTTGTCAACTACTCTTTTGTACGCCTGCATTGTGCAATAAGTATAGTCAGTGAAGGCCCACCAAAAGGGTTAATCCATGTGAATTCAAATATACTACCTTCTGGCAGTACTTCTTCAAACGATCCTTCAGCTTTAGTAAATGCTCTGGTTTTGAGAGGTCGAGGAAAGGCTTTGAAGATGTAACTCCACCAGTTTGAATCATCTCTGACTCAATTTGCCTCTTTATATGATGATAGTCACTAGAAAATAGAATAACATTAGAACGGAAACTCAACATATTCATGCAAGTTTGTAAAGCTTACCTCTTTTTTGCCGTGTAGGTTTCTCCTCGCCAGACCCATTCAAGCGTTCTAAGGCAATTCTTTCCAGGGCGATTGAAATCACATGCTGTGCAGTCCACGTCTGTAACTATGGATGGTGGCTGCCATCAACAAGTGAGGAAAAAAAGCTTAATTTGGTTGCTGGGTTATAATCATGCAAATGTGACACTACAAGCGATGTGACAAAGCTGAATGTTTCTGGTGATATCTTTCATGGTATAGGGTGATTGGCATATCTCATCGATGTGTAGCACTGTCATCAGCAGACATAATATAAACCCCCGCCTACGTAATAAGGGACGGACCAGTGCTAGAAGCTCCCACACCAGGTGGGATCTGGAGAAGGATTATACGAGGCAAGCCTTGCACATGCACAGTGCAATGCAGAGAGGCTGCGTCAAATCCAGGACCCCTTGGCACAACCGGGGAGTACTTCACCACTGCGCCAGGCCTGTCCTTCATACCTCCGCCTAGGTGCCTGCTGAAAGATGTATCTAATATCTTACATCACCCGCCATTCCATTATGACCATAACAGCTAAACTTTTAGTTAACTGGTTTGTTCATGGAACTATGATGCAGCAGCAAGAAATCCTAAGCTATCCAGCACCCCTTGTGCTGATTTGACACATTGGACCTGTGAGACTTGACATGAGTGGCAGTATTAGAGTATGACTGAACTGCTTACCTTCCCCTAAAGACACGTGAACGGAGAACGTAGTCACTCACTCTCACCAAGTTCTGGTGGCAGTGACAGCAGCGCTGCTGCTTGCTCAGTTTTGCCATAGTTCAACTTAGTTGGTTCCGTCACTTTTTTGCTCTTTGCCTTTTTTTTTGCTTTCTTGTTTAAGTTGGTTGGGTTTGTACTTCATGTCTTCTCGGCATTCTTCTTTGAAGAAACAAAGACATACTTGATGCGTATTTGAGAAAAAGATTTGGGGTGAAAACATCTAGTGCTAAACATGCCAAACAAAATTTTGTTAATGCAACAGTCCAGATTTCCCATCCAACCTTCATATTTTCTATAACTCTCAGCATGATGCTTAAGCAAACGGTACCCAAAGAGATTCTGCATCTCAGCCGGATAATCTTCACAAATCACCATACCACCAGAACGCCAAAAAAGTAAGTTCAGCTATCCTTAACATGATAAAACCTTATCACTCATGGAATTATCAATACCAGCAATACAGCATTCGAATACTTCATTAAAGTATAGAAAATTACCTGGAGCCTATTTGTCAAAATGATATTTGGATACATTGCAGCAACATCCAGATGATATATAAGAGGGCATTCTTCACGAGTTGGGTGGTCTCGCAATGAAACAAGCTGTGAATTTGACATGACAACAAAGGTCAATCAAGCATGGAGCTGACAAGTTATAACATTTTATCGATGCCAGTTATGTAGATATTATGTTCAGCAAGATCTTTCTATAAGAAAATAATTAATATCCTTGATATATTAACAGCTGGTATTTATAGTATGATCTGACAGCACAGCACACTGAGCTAACAAGTCTGCTTCGTTTGGTGCCTAAGCTTTCCAAGCCGAATCTTGGCAATCTAAGAAAAATTAGCCTTACATTGGCTTGCTCCAGTTTTGGCACCCATTCGGCTAGCTCCGGTTCTGGCTTGGAAACTTATTTACTAAACCAATAAGGCCCAAGCCACCCAACATTTGCAAAATCAAACCTCAAACGGTAAATAAGTATCTTGGTAATCAAATAAAGAATGAGCTAAAATGGTTGAATAAATTTGCTTCAACAGTCAAACTTTTCATGTTTCAGTGTAACCAACTATGGGAATTGGCACTATGCTTCAGTTTGTCACATGGTCTTAAAGACGCTGGACAGAGAGTGAAGATCAAAGACCACAGCAGGACAGGACACGGTACCTTTTGCTTTATGGCATCCTTGACTTCATCATAATTTGTGACAGAATCAATATCCAATTTTCCTTCCACAGCAATGGCATATTGCAGATCACGGTCAAGGTTTTCAATTAGTTGCTGAAAGAACAAAATGCATTGAGTTAATACACTGAACGTATGCATACAAACTCTTGTATGAAACCACATCAATGTCCTACAAATTAATAATCCAACCAGGTACAAAAAAGCTCAGGAACATTTTCACTAAATTAAATAACATTTCCAGAAGATTATAACTTAACTTACCTCAAATGCTGAGGGTTCCAGCTGAAATTTTGTAGGAAGATCAGATCTAAATACACCAGTTTCAAGACACTCAACATGACCACCGATGTATGTTTCGCTTTCTACTAGACGGTTATTGTAAAACTTCTCCAGGTCAGCTTGGTGCTTGTTAGGACAAATGATATTAGCCTGGAATGCCTATACATCAGAAGAAACTGATTTCAGCAAACATCACAAAATCA